TGTCACGAGACAGGCATCTGACTTTCTGGTTTCTAGGACAAGGTCATAAAGGCACATGTTTAACCATTATGGCTGCCAAAAGGGAAGCCGGTTCCTTCACCTATAACAAATAGTCTGTGCATAATCTGTAATACTATGTCACTATCTGTTAAGTCCCCATGGCATGCAGTATACTTTAGTTCTAAGGAGTCTTTGTTGATTTTTAGTTTGCACATGTATCCAGAGTTGAGAGCGGGAGATTAAAGTAACCCACTATTATTGTATGCAGACCTATCTGACATTGTATGTTCATTATTGGTTTATGGAATTTGGCACTTCCAATTTACAACTGTTACTGAAGGAACCGGCTTCCCTTTTGGCAGCCATAATGGTCGAACATGTGCTTCTATGACCTTGACCTAGACACTAGAAAGTCAGATGCCTGTCTCGTGACAAGGAACCAATCAGAAGTTAGCTGGTGGCGCTATGCTTTACGACCCTGGGTGTGCTTTACGGACGAGCGCACGACAATGACGTAGAGAGCATAGCAACCACCCTGGGAGGGCCTATGAGCCATAACAACCAGTTGACCAATCAACAAGGGCAAGTCCTCCAAGCCTGGAAGCACACCAATCATGAACCTGTGCGTAAGCCTGTGCGTACCCCTAGACACTCCCCTTACACTGCCCTATAAGATCTTTGGGGAGACCTTAGGAGCCGTCTTTTTCTAGCCGTCTGCCATGGCGGGTGGGTGAAAGACCTGATCTCACTTCCTGTTAGCTCGTTAAATTACAATAAAGCCTCGTGCAGTTTGCAGCAAGCTCTCGAATCCGCCTGGTGATTGGGGTGACCGCGAACGTGGCCTGGGACCCCGAATACTTGAGTTTTCGGGGGTCTAACATTACAACCCTTTACATGTTGTGGTTTCTTAATCTCTTCTGAGTAGTTTTGGCTTTATGTCAACTTTCTCAGACACTATAAGAGCCATGACATCTTGTTTTCAGTTTCTGTTCACTTGATAGATTGCTTTCTGTCCTTTGATTCTTAATCCATAGGTGTCTTCTACGTGGAGACAGTAGAAGATTGACTATAATCTTTTTTTTTTCTTAAAATGATTCTCTTCTTTTTTATTGTTAGAGAATTTATTCAATGTGTTTTGACCAAATCCACCTCCTTTTCCTCCAGCACTTTCTCTATCCTCCCATCACTTTCCCTCCTGATTTCATGTGCTTTGTCTAGCTAAGTGTCCTTGTCTGGCCTGGACTTTCTATACAGGCCAGGCTAATATCAAAGTCAGAGATCTACCTGCCTCTGCCCTGCTAGTGCTAGGGTTAAAGAAATACACCACTGTTTTAATTTGAATAAAAATGGATGGCCCCATAGACTCACAGGGAGTGGCACTATCAGGAGGTGTGACATTGCTGGAGTAAGCATGGCCCTGTTGGAGGAAGTGCGTCAGGAGGGTGGGCTTTGACGTCTCAGAAGCTCAAGCTGCCTAGTGACTCACTGTCTCTTCTTCCTGCTGCCTATGGATCCAGATGTAGAATGCTCAGCTACTCTCCAACACCATGTCTGCCTGCAAGCTGCCATGCTTCCCACCATAATGGCAATGAACTACACCTCTGATCTCTAAGCCAGCCCCAATTCAATGTTTTCCTTTATGAGAGTCATAGTGGTCGTGGTGTCTCTTCACAGCAATAGAAATCCTAAGACAACCACCAGGCCCAGTTATGAGAGTCTCTTTTAAGAAACCAATAAAATAAAACCAAGATACTATTAAATGTAGGGATAGGAGACAGAAAGAAACAAGAAGAAAAAAAAAAGCTGAGCTAAGGCAAAGAAAATATACTGCCCAATAGTGGAAAAATACATTGGACAAAATTATATGGCTATGCGAAGGAAAAACATTTTAAAACGGCAATACGGTAGGAATCCTGGTAACAATGTAGAGAATAGAAATGAAACACACTGAGAAGAATAAAAGATGAGGTGCTGACGCAGCTGCTTTGTGGCTCCTTAAAAGGTGGAGATGCCTGTCACAGGCTCAGAGACAGGGCAGGATCCGCTCAGCATGTGGACTCTGTTTTTCCTTTGGTTTATGCAATTGCAGGGCGGCACCGAGCTAATGTCTAACTGCTGAGATCCTTTTCATGGCTGCTGCGTTACTTCTTTGCATATCAGGGACCTCTGCTGGCCACACTTGGTTTTGCATTCTTACCCTCCAGATCAGAGGGCCTGCCCCCAGAATGACTGTTTTATTTAGAGGTGCCTCTCAAGGGGGCTGGAAAAGTGGGGCGGAACTGTAGCACTAACATCGGTTTTGACACAGATCCGCCTTCGTACAAGGCCTTCTGAGTGATAACCGACCAGGTGGAAGGACAGAGTCGTGAGTATAATGCACACACTCGGAACTTCAGCATCATTAGGCTTGAAAGTGGCAACCGACAGATAGTTCCAGAATTTGATCCATCTGCCCGCCTCAGGCGCAGACCATCAAACTCCAGGCTTATTCTCAGCTGATGAAATCTATTCCCAGACACCAAAAGTGGGGCTCTCTTCGTGGGCATTTTGAAGCCTCAGCCAGATTCACAGAACTTGTAGTCTTTGGCCCATGAGTGTTCCTCCTACTCTCCACATCTGTCTGTCTGGGCTTTTCCTCCCCCAGGGTCAGCCCACCAATTTTAATCTGTCAGAAATGGCTCCCATCACAGACTCAGAAATGCTTAATCAGCCAACTGAGCATCCATGTCTAACTGAGTTAATATCGAAAACTTACTTTCACCTGATAGAATCATTGTTTGGATACAACAGAACAGCTCCTGGGAAAGAAGTCCAGCTCTTACTAAAATACACATTCTACATTACATATTTACATATGTCTGGACACATACGTGAAAGCCTGATGCAGCTCCAATTAATGCATTTATGCTATCCCAAGTATGGGCATATCATATCTATGGTAGCCTGTTTTCATTTGCTAGCAGCACAATATTGTATTTTGGGTACCTTATAAAGAAAATAGATTGACATTGGCTTACATTTCTAGTTCAAAGACAAGGGCCTTCATCTGGTAATACTCTTTTTATTAACAGTGTCCCAAAGTGGTTTAAGATATCATATAGTAAGAAACAGTGCTGATATGTGCTAACTGCCCCCTCCCACCCCCCCACCCCCCCACACACACATCTATAAAGCCACAGCATTCTTCTATGGGTCTTTACCCTAGTTATTTAGAAAAATCCTCGATATTTCCTAAAAACTCACTTCTGAAAACTGTGGCTAAATTAAGTTCCCCATTCTGTTAATACTTCATGATAGAAATTAAATTTGATAGTGAATTTTAGAGGAAACAAACCATATCCGGGCCATAAGGTACCAATTGCTTTTTATCTTAATTTTTTTTTGTTTGGTTTGGTTTGGTTTGCTTTGCTTTGCTTTGGTTTTTCAAGACACAGTTTCTCTGTGCAGCTTTGTAGACCAGACTGGCCTCGAACTCACAGAGATCCACCTGACTCTGCCTCAAGAGTGCAAGGGTTAAAGGCATGCACCACCACTACCAAGCTTATTTTATTGCTTTGTTCCTTCATTTGGTTTGTCCTTTCAACAGCTTACTTTGTATCTTCTAATCTAATACTACACGGCTTGCTCCTTCTTTCATTTATGACCCCTTTTTTTGCCAGGCTAATCCCGATAGTTTGTAATCCCAGGTCCCTGCCCTAAGTGTGGAGGGTCCTTCTCAAAGACTCTTCCATACAGGGCCATCACTAAGACAGGCAAAAGGGCTCCTCCTCGGCTCCTGAGACGTCCATCTCTCGTAACTGATGAGAGATAGCAAAGAATTAACTCCAATGCAAAGCTCAGTTTCCAGAAACATCTCCTTCTAGAAACATCCTTCCAGAAACAGCGTCGGGTGGTATAAACAAACAAGATTTGATGGCAGAAGACTCAATTTTCTGACTCTGATCTAATTAAAGAGGGGTGGGGTAAAAATGTAGCAAATAATCTCTTATAAAACTCATGAACCACTACACAGGTATTGCTAGCACTAAAACAACTTCTCAGCACCCCCATGGAGTAAGCTGCATAAGCAGTGTTCCCACCCGTACTGAGCACTGAACTCGGGGTATTGTGCCCGCTGGACAGAGCCTCTACCCATGATCTACATTCCTAACTTTTTAAAACATATTGTTACTTTCGATTGACTTATCGGTCTTATGTGTGTAAATGTTTGACCAGCATGTATGTCCATTCACTATGTGAGTGCTTGGTGCCTGTGGAGGCCAGAAGAGGGTGTTGGACACACATTCCTTAGAATTGAAGTTACCAGTCAGCATGAGCCACCTTGTGGGTATTAAGAATCAAGCCCAGGTTCTCTGCAAGAGCAGCAAGTGCTCTAAGCCATTAAGCCATGTTCCCAACTTAATTTTTATTTGATGTGTATCAGTGTTTGGCCTGTATATGTGTATTTGCACCATGTATATGCAATGTCCAGGAAAATCAAAAGAGGGCATCAGAGTCCCTAGAAAAAGAGTTACTGACACAGTTGTAACTGGTCATGTGCAAGCTGGGAGTCAATCCTGGTCCTCTGCAAGACTAGAAAATGCTCTAATCTTCAAGCCATCCCATTGGCCAGCTGGTGTGTGTGTGTGTGTGTGTGTGTGTGTGTGTGTGTGTATCTGTGTATGTGTACATGTATGTATTTGTATACTGGTTTTTATGAGACAGGATCTCTCTATGTAGTCTTGACTGTCCTGGAACTAGCTATGCAGTCCAGGCTGGCCTCAAACTCACAGAGATCTACCTGCCTCTGCCTCCAGAGTTCTGGAATTAAATTTTTATGTTTTTATTTTGAGACTAGGTCTCACAAAATTGTCAGTTTAGGCCTTGGACTCACTTTGTAGCCTATGCAGGCCTTCAATTTCTGACCATCTTCCTTCAGTCTCCTAAGCAGTTTAGATTACAGGCTGCTCCACCAGGCCCAGCTAGCCGCATTGTTGAATGAACTATGCTTAGCTTGAATCTTGTACATTATACAAAGGATTATTATCAGTCCGTATTCTAATTTTAATCCCCTCGTGAATTCACATTTTTATAGAACACCACACCCTAACTTTTCCATCCTAGATGAATACAATCTGCAACTACAGCTTGTTCTAGGCCACAGCTAATGTGACCTTTAAAGCATCTCTCATAGACTGAGGAGGGCAATATTTCAGTACTGCCCCTTGCCCCTTCCTTCCTTCCTTCCTTCTTTTTTTTCTTGTTTTGCTTTTTTCAAGACAGGGTTTCTCTGTGCACCCTTGGCTGTCCTAGAACTCACTCTGTAAACCAGGCTGACCTTGAACTCACAGAGAGCCCCCTGCCTCTGCCTCCTGAGAGTCGGGATTAAAGTCACGTGCCGCCACCCCCCAGCCCTTTATTCAAAGACCTTGATTATGTTGGTCTACTTCATCTACTCAAAGAAATGTGTCCTCTTGAAGGCCTCCTACTCACAGTATCTCTCCAGGGTGAGCTGACTCCCACTGAGGACGATCTGAGGGAAACGTAGTTTGTCCCAAAGGTGCCACTGAGAGAGAATTCTTCAAACTTGGTAAAAGCTGACCCCACGGGTTCCCCACAAGTTCTCAGGTTGGTGGTTTGACACTTCAGCAGTGTGCATATCTGTGTCAAAGGGGAAAGGAAAAAAGTGGTCAAAATTCAGTTCCAAAGAACAGAGTTTCCATTTAAGCTGTCATAACTTGTTAAATATTATGTCAAGTTTACTGGGACAAGATTATTACACTTTTTTGGTTGGTTGGTTGGTTTTTTGTTTTGTTTTTATTTTTCAAGACAAAGTTTCTCTGTGTAGTCATGGCTGTCACAGAACTGACCCTGTAAACTAGGCTGGTTTCGAACTCAGAGATGTATCAGCCTCTGCTGCCTGAGTGATGGGATTAAAGGTGTGCACCACCACCCTGTAATTATTACACTTTTAATAAAGGCAAATTTTATTGAATTTAAAAGGTCAGTGCTCTGGATAATTCTAATTTGGATTATTTTCTAAGCCATTTGATTTGGTTAAATTTTCTTCTAACTCAGTCATGCACCCATGTGTTCCACTGGGTCACAAACTAATTTAGAACCCAGTGGAAGACAATTGGCAAAACATTTCTCTAACAAGAGGATGCATAGACATTGTAGCCTTTGAAACATGAACTTGCCTGCAGAGGGCGCCTCAATCTGCTTTATGCTTCTCACCTCGTCACCAAGAAAAAGAATTTGTTCTGGTGAAAATGGAACAAATTAAATGTTCTGCAGTTGCAAGTAAATCTGATAAATGCAACATTATACAAATTAACTGAATTTAATTCCGTTTTGAAGGAAAAGCTATGATAGCTGTGCCGATTATTTTATGTTTTATTTTATTTGTGAACTTGACGAAGCTAGGGTCGTCTGGAAAGAGGAACCTCCATTGAGGAAACACCTCCATCAGATTGTCTGTAGGCAGGTCTGCAGAAAATTAATTAATTTTCTTAATTAATGACTATTTACATGGGAGGGCCCACTATGGGTGGTGCTATTCCTGGGCAGGTCGTCTTGAGTTGTATAAGAAAACATCTGTGCAAGCCATGGGGAATAAGTCAGTAAGCAACATTCCTCTCTGTTTTAGTTCCTGCCTTGAATTCCTGCCCCAACTTCCCTCAGTGATGGACTATGATTTCAACAGTAAGCCAAATAAGCCCTTTCACCTTTAAGTTACTTTTACTCATGGTCTTAATCACTGTAATAAAAATCAATGACTTAGAAGAAAGCCCAGTAGAAAGATCATCCTAACATTTTCAAGCATTCTACCTGTAGGTAATATTGGCCTTCCACTGTGTGCAGTCCATCTGAGGCACCCAGGACATAGGCCTCATCCATTCGATTCTCTGACATCTTGTAAGTCAGGTGACAACACAGGTCCTTTTGGCAAACTGTAATTTCCAGTGCTTCCAGAAAGCTTGGTGAAGTTGAATTCATCAAAATAAATCATCCCTGGGAAGTTTGCCTGCTCTGATGAGGATGGCTTGATACTTCTGGCGTAAGCACTCCAGTCAACCTTTGCAGAGGCGGTGGGTTGATGGGGCCAAGACTTCAATTCTGATAAGAGCAGCTGGCCGCTGTCTGTTTCCATGTCATAGTGGTACACACCGACAGATTCTGGACTGTAGATCCCACTCCCTATGGCCAACATTTAAAAAAAAAAAGCAAATATTGCTTCTAAACTTTTTATATCATCAAAGAGAAGATTCCCATGGGAAATTAAACATAAAGTTTTTTCAAGATTTTATTTATTATGTATAGAGTCTTCTGCCTGCATGCCAGCAGAGGGCACCAGATCTCATTCAAGGTGGTTGTGAGCCACCATGTGGTTGCCGGGAATTGAACTCAGGACCTCTGAAAGTACAGTCAGTGCTCTTAACTGCTGAGCCATCTCTCCAGCCCCCTAAATGTAAAGTTACTAAAGCATAATGACTTTTTAAAACTTTTATTTAACTTTATTTTATGTGCTTTGGTGTTTTGCCATAGGTGTCAGTTTCCCTGGAACTAGAGTTCCAGACAGTTGCGAGCTGCCATGTGGGTGCTGGGAATTGAACCCAGGCCCTCTGGAAGAGCAGCTGGAGCCATTTCTCCAGCCCCCACAAAGACTTTTTAAAAGATGTTATTGGATTCAGTTCAACCCTGCTTTTTGCATAAGACACTGAAATGATCATTTAAAGGTTTTGCTTTTTAAATCTATTGAAACTTTTCTTGTCTACAGAGCAAGTTCCAGAACAGAATCCACAGCTACACAGAGAAGCCCTGTCTCAAAAAAAAAACAAAAAACAAAAAAACAAAAAACAAACAAAACAACAACAACAACAACAACAAAACCTTTTCTCCTTTAAACCAATTTAACAAGAAAATCAAAAATTTCCTGAAACAGGAAGAATAATTTCTTCGCTCTGGTGACCTAACTCAACCGATTTGGGTTTTAAATTTGTCTTTTGCCATCGTGAAAACCAGTCAAGAGGGAGGCAAGTATTACCCTTAATGAGAATATTACCAAGAGTAAACTCTAAAACCGATTAAGCTCAGTTATTTTGTCATCACAAGGTTTATTGTAATACAACTAATAGGTGTTGGCTGGAACATCCCTTAGTAACTTTGGTTGTGAGCCTAGCCTTTGGTGGCTGTGAGCAACCTCTCCAGACACCACCACCTTTTTTCTTTTTTAACACAATTTCAATTTTTCCTCTTGAAGCATTGAGATAATATTTGCTTCCTTCCCTTTACCATAATAAAGCTCCTTAAGCAGAAAATTTTGCTACTTGCCAGGCATGGCAGGGAATGTTTGTAATCCCAGTGCTCTGGAGGTCGAAGCAGAAGTATCATAAATTCTGGGCCTGCCTGGGCTATATAACAAGATCCAGTCTCAAACGAGAACAGTTGATTTCCTGTCCTCAGAAAATCAACATGTAAACAAATTAATTCAATCAAACCTTAAGCAGAAATCCACAGTATTGTTAATTTTATGATAGTGAAGTTAGCCATTAAAGGAAACTGTGGCTTGAAAATCAGTGAGGAGTTCTTCCCCAAGATTGTCATTGTTACTTGACCAATGACTGGCTAGTTACCTGTCATGTGCATTCTGGTGTTGTGGGTGTTTGCAGCAAGCAGGTTGACTCCCATGGCTCTGGCCCACACTGAATGGAATGAGACAGCTGATAGGAGAGGCAGGGTATTGTACCATGCCCTAGGGTAGAGAACACTGTCAACGTGAAAGTCCTTCACAACCACCACAGCTGGGTCGTAAGAAAAAATGTCAAAGCAAGTGAAGATGCCAAACCTCCCAAAAGTCACCAACTCTGAATCTTTGGGGAAAACAAACTGAATCTCTGGAGCAAAAAGATTGTACTGCCAAAGACAAGCAGAGATGGAAGAAATCAGTCAAGGACAAATTTGCCAATAGATATGGTCAATTCCCACAAAATCTCTTCTTCCGTGTATGTTGATGTGCATATGGTCATATGAGGATTTACAAACATCATGCTGATTATACCAATTACCTGTGATTTTCCATGCTGTGGCATTAATCAAAAACACTTCATTTTTAAGCATCAGTGAACAAATGACAGCAAACGGCATCTAAGATGTGATTGTCTTTCAAACTTCGGAATGAAATTCTTTTCATGTTATTTTTACTAATATGAAAGTGTCTATGTGTAAGTACATGCATGTGAGTGTGAGATTCAATGAACCAGAAGAGGGTTTGGGGTCCCCTGGAGCTGGAGTGACAAGCAGTTGTGGGTTACCCAAGGTGGGTACTGGGAATTGAACTAAGGTCCTCTGTAAGAGCAGTATGTGCTCTTGACTGCTGAGCCATCTATCTAGCCCACAGACAGGATGAACTCTTGAGTCTCTTAATTTGAAAACTGTTTCCACTGCATTCTTTAAATATGAGGCACACTCCCTGTGTGAGGTCTAGCATGTGTTAATACAATAAACCTCACCATGTTTACTGTGGCATTTGTATCAATTAAACGAAGTTGACTTAAATTAATTTCTATTTTGGAGTTGCTAAGTCTTGCTAATTACTAAACTATTAGTAATCTTACTTTTTCTCAGCCCGATTGTTGATCCTGAAGTGTAAGTATTATAATGATGATAGTCACGGGGGCGACACTAAAGATCACTGAAGTTTCACAGCTCCTTGTCCCAGTACTTGTGACAGCATCATTATCTTATCAGGTACCTGAGTGTGTCTTTCATTAGTACAGTCTCTCCTGCATCCTGCCTACTTAACTCCAGCTCAGGAGCGGGCCACTTACTTAGCTGGGTCTTCCCTTGGTCTGATGCATGCCTTAGTGCAATCTGGCATCAGCTACCCCACATCCCAGGGTTCCAGAGGCTCTCTTGGTCCTCCACTCACCTCCTTTGTGGTACTGCATCCTACAGAGACCAGTGAATGGTTCAGGACAGGTGTGTCACCTGGCTGGAATAAAGGCGTGAGTAGGCCATGGCAGGGTGTCTAAGTAACAGAAATGTATGTTTCTGTGGACTTTGTTCATACATATGAGGATTTTGTGTTGTGCTGCTGTGGCCATGTGGTGTCTAAGAGGGCAGTTATCCTGAGCAAAAGCTGTTAGTAAGACCGGGGGTCGGGGTGGGGGGATAAGATCTCTGAGAAATGGACCAACTGCTCCTGGAATGGGAGCTACCTTTTCTGTGATAGATTCTTTTCAGCTACACAAACAAAAACATTTCTGTGTTTTTAGAACCAGTTTCTGTTGGAATTTTATTTCATATCAGTGAAAAAGTTATGCTGAAATAAATAGTAACTTAGTATTAAATAATAACAAATTTGTACCCCCAAGCCCTCTGATACGAACTCAAAGATGAGACAGCATTTCTCCTTTCTCAAAGGATATTCAGTATTTGTGAGGCTATTATCACATCTGTTTTGACATTTTGCTATATTCTACTTTATGATTCATTCACACAGAGAATCCTTGACTGGTATATAAGTAAATGAAATTGTCTTTTCAACTAAAAGTGGTAATGATTATGAGATGTTTCTATAACAGTTCCATCTCTGGTATCTAAAAACCAAATATGCATACATATCACAAACAACAGAAACAAGCCAAGCTTAATGAAGGCATGGGTAATTCTTACCTTATGGTATCGGGCTGCTAGCCTGCCCTCAGAATCAAATACCACATTGATGTTGTATTGATAGCAGCCATCCAGAGGACACTGAGGGTCAGTAACATTGCATGGCTTCTTGTCCCCAATATTTGCAACAACATAGATAGAGTTATCCTTGGCAAGACAACTGAGTCTCTCCTGCACTGGTGCATAGCCAAACCTAATTCAACAAAAGTCGCCTCAAGCTGTAACTTCCAAAATATTAAAGCGATACTATATTTTTCCATTTTCTGCAATGCTCAGGTCAACAATCAGCAGCAAAGAATTTAGAACTCGCATGCAGGGGCCATGCAGATGGAGATGGTTCAGTCAGTAAAGCCTTCCGAGTGTGAGGACCAGAATTCAGATCCCAGAACCTGTATAAATGCCAGGCACAGTGCCATGCACCTGTAATCTTAGCAACAGAGAGATGGGAGACAGAGACAGACAGACCCCGGGAAGCTTGGGGGTCACCTGGCCTGCCCTATGTGGCAGGGTTCCAGGTAAATGAGAGACCCTATCTCAAACAGTAATAGACAGTAATGGCATGCCACCTACATTCAGCGTTGTCCTCTGACCTCCAAATGTACACTGTGTGTTCACCTGTGCACAGAGATGGCTCCCACACTCGTTGTACATACATGCACACAAAAGAAAAACAAAAGCTTATGTGCAACACAGTGTGTGTCTGTATGATTACTAGTGTCTTCTGATGTGCCAGGTGGCCCAGCATGAAGGCCTAGAGAAGCCTTAAGGGAAACTATTACTCTGTCTTGGAGTGGGAAGAGAAGCTATGCAAGGACTTGAAATTTAGCAAACTCCTCTGAGATGGGCCTCATCGATCTAGCATATTATAAATGTGTGGCTGTAAACCGTGGCCAAGAACAAAGTACCAAGTGGCAGAAAACAGTTGGTCCTGTGCAGGGATGTCCTCTTCCATGAGGAGCAAATGAGGCATTGTGAAGTGGGAACATAAGCAAACAAACAGAACATGGGCCTGGCTCAATTTTCTCATCCAACAAGTGATATTCGGCTTCCTTTCTCTCTTAGAAAGTTCTTGTGGAGAAACGTGCATGTCATGAAATAGTCTTTATATTTATCCCAGAAATAGAAAGGGAATGTGGTGAGGTGGCATATGGCTTCAAATATTTGAGTGTCTCTCGTGTGGGATATATGCTGTGAATAAAAGTGTATTCAACAAGACAGATCGGAAGCCAAAGTCATAAGGAGGAGGATGTCACTGACTACCGTTCATGAATAAATATGTTTTTAGTCATTATAATTTTCAGTATAATGCAGTCAAGTGGCAAGTCTATTAAGTTACCATGGCTTAATGCAATTGGTTATGTGGTGTGCATCAGTGCATTTGTTCATGTGTGTGAGTGTAGGTGAACCTGTGGGTGTGGGTGCACATATGTCCATGTGTGGAATCAGAGGACCAGCCTGGGTGTCATTCTTCAGTCACTTTCCCGCTCCCTGCCCCTTCTCACACATTGTCTCTCATTGGCCCAGGACCTCACCAATATGAAGGCTAGACTGACTGGCCAGCGAACTCTAGAGATTTGAATGATTCTGCTTCCCAACTTGCCATTGTCAAGATTTTAAGTGTGTGTTACTATTCCCAGTTATTTAAATGGGTCCTGAGGATCAAACTTGGGCCTTCACTCTTTCAAGGTAAGCACTTTATAGACTGAGCCCTCTTCCTAGGCTGCAAATGGCTTTCTTTAATTCTACACAACCTAATTACTAATTATGCAGCCTTAACTCTCCCTTTCTTAGAATACTTAATATGCAAATGGTGACACCGACTGTCATTAAGATTTAATATGCACAGCACACCAGATACAGCTCTTGGAATTCTGTAAAGGCACAGAGAATAACTAATACCTCTTATGGATTTCTGTAAAAATCCAGGTGGGTGCCCAAGGTTGATGTTATATATCTTCCCTGATCATTCTCATTTAATTTATCAAGACATAATGTTGAGTAAACACGGTTTGCCAAATCCAGCTAGTGTAACTAGCTAAGTTTTCCTGGGAATCCCCCATCTCTGCCTCCCAAGTATTGGACTAGGGGTGGCCCTCGTGCCTGCCTGGATTTTATATAGGTCTGGGGATCTGAACTCCAGTTTTCACACTTAATTGGCAAGTGCTTATCCACTGAGCTATCTCCCCAATAGTTTCATTTTGTTGTTGTTGTTTTCTTTGTTTTAAGTAGAGTTTTGCTATGTAGCCCAGGATGCCTTTGAAATCATGAAGCAATTCCTCCCACCTAGTTTCCCAAGTGCTGGGATTAAAGTCATGAGTCCCTAAGACCCAGGTTGATTGCTCCCTTTTGTTTCACAAAGCTGACTCTTTGTCGTTAGAATAATTCAGTGTTAAGATTTCCATGAGCCATTTGCCTTTGCAACTTAACAGAATTCAAGTAAGCATAACTACCAGACTACGAGTATCATCTCCTAGAAGAGCTAACTCTAGTGGCATTATCACATGATGTATATTTTAATATAAGCCTCTAGAATTACAGTAAGTACTGATTGCTTCCTGTCCTAGGAAAAGCTTTTGACAGGGTGACAATGCGTCACTATTCCATGCTTTCTGCACACACAGGTCATGTAGCCATTTAGAAAACACTTTCCCAAAGGTGGAAGTCTCAGGCTGAGGCTTGATTTAAATAGCAAAGCTTAAGTATGAGAGCATTGGACTTACGTTCCACCTGACATCATGTGGCAAATTCTATTAAATAATAGAATTATTATTTAATAATTATAATTTATAACTATAAATTATAAAATAATTACAATAATATTACATTTAAAAAGCTCCTCCTGGGAGACAATAGATGTGAGTCTGAGGAGGTGTATGCAGATATAAAATTAGCAACTGGAAGCATTTTTCAAATTTCTCCACTTAAAGAAATGACCTGTAAACTATGCTAAAATGCAAATAATTACACTTAAAATAATCTACTTCATCTTTCTTTTAAAATTATATATAATTACACACACACACACACACACACACACACACACACACACATATATATATCAAGGTTTTAAAAAAACCACAATTATTAATAAGGGCTAAAAATCTAAGGACAAGAGTGCAGAGTAGTTTAGAGTCATTTCCTCCCATCATAAAGAAGTCATTGTGATACGGGATGTTAAAGAGGATGCTGCAGGGCAAGGTTTCACACAAACCATTTCATTTGACACCTTTCTCTACTCCATAAGGGAAGGATGCTGCAGGGCAAGGTTTCACACAAACCATTTCATTTGACACCTTTTTCTACTCCATAAGCCCAATAGAGATGCAACATTTCATTGCCCTTGTTTTATAATAATGGAACAGAATACCAAGCAATTGTGCTATGTACCCTGTACCACTCAGCCAGGAGATAGTTAAGATGGGGACTCAGAAAGACAGCTTCCTCTTTGAAGCCCCATGGAACTTCCATGAACCTTATTGACGGCTGTGAAATCATAGTGACAGCACAGCTTTAGAAACACAGACTCATTAATCTATTCACTATTCTCATGAGGGAGGCAGGTGTTCCTGGGTCAACCGACAAGCTTGTACTTGAAAACACAGGATCCAGAGACAACATTCTCACTTGGCTGAAGCTCAGTCAAATGCATTTGTTGGAAACAGTGTGTTCACATGCTAGGTTTTAAAGAGAACTGCAGTAACAAATCAAGCATTCTTATCTAAAGTCATTCACCAGATGGGAGACACATTGAGTAGTAAACTATAAAACATTAATGTCCAATGCCACTGACTGTCTAATCATCAGAAAAACAAGTCAAGCTTGGTGTCTTTGCTGTTCTTCCTTATCAGAACCTGTTTGGTGACAGAGTCATTACTCTGGCATGATCTTACCTCTTGGGATCTCTCCAGGGAATCCAGTTCACTTCAGGGTCTGGTATATCCTCCAGGTAAGGGTAAATGGTCTCCCTGGTGAAGATCCAACCATAGATTCCATCTTCTGGAGTCACAATGATATGTGCACCCTGCTCAAAGCAAGTGTGGAAAGAAAAAGTTTCTCATAATTTCTAAATGTCCATGTCCTTGTCTAGGGGCAAATCCATATCTATCCCAGACATGAATACAAGAGATAACTGCTTGGCTGCCAGCTTTATTGCTTTCTCCAAAACATCTATGTTCTTGTGCATCAGGAGCAAAGCCTCTTCCTTTGAAACAGCTGTTTCTGTTTTGTTTGGCAATATAACAGCATGCTCATATACAGCAGCAATAAAAGTGTGCAGTGCACCCACAGCCTGGGCAAAGAGGGCAAAACTCAGTACAAATTTAGGAAAATATAATGGAACCATAGTTAAAATAGAGTAATTATTGAAAAACAGAAGATTCTTCTACCCTATATCAAAGGAAAAATACTCAGACTAAAGCTCCACCTACAGCCAGCTACATTTGTCTCCTTCTGAATATATTATGCAAGACAGCATTGAGAAAAGAGGTTGTGCAAGACTGGCAGGCAGAAGTACATGATTGCATGCATGTGAGTTTGCAGCAACTGTTGACATTGCTCAGGGGCCAACTCGTCTCTAAAAGGGATATTAATGAACCAATCAGATGAGTGCACCCAAAACACACTGGTCAAATTCTTATTTGGTGTATTTTTAAATGAACTATATCTTACTAGGACACCAATATTTCTAGTATTAGAGTCTATATTGGGGTGTTCTAAGAAGACAGTTATCACATCAACAATTTCTTGAGGATGTATACTCATGGCTATAACAGGGACAGAACAATATAAGAAAAGCTCCAGGGTTTTTTACTAGACTTATTTTATTTTACTTGTGAATTTTGCCTCTATGTGCATATGTGTACCATGTCCATGCCTGGAGCCCAGAAAGTTCAGAAGAAGGTGACGCTGCCCTGGTACTGGAATTTCAGGTGGATACTGGAAAACAAACTGAAGTCCTCTGAAGGAACAAGTACTCTCAGGGGGTGCAGGGGAGGATGTATTCGCCAGCTGCATGCGGGAAAACTTAAAAGAGAAAGCTAAGGGCGGGGGTCTTTCACTGGTACTGGAATTTCAGGTGGATACTGGAAAACAAACTGAAGTCCTCTGAAGGAACAAGTACTCCTAACTATTAAGCCATTTCTCCATCCCTTCCTTTTTTTTTAATCATCTTAGAATTTCATACAGGCCTCTTTCTCAGCCTTCCACTTCCTCCTCTGTCCTTCCTACACGTTTCCCTCCCAACTTCATATGTGTGCTCTTCCTCCCTCTCTCCCCCTCTCTCTCTCTCTCTCTCTCTCTTTCTCTCCCTCTCT